TTTTTTTCGTCTATCGCTATAGAAGAATAAGCTTCATGCAAACATCAAAAGTCATTTACAAATTTCGATTGTTTTAAGAAAAATCAACCAAGCTTTTTTTTTTCTTAATCAATCGACGTATTTTATTTGTTTTTCCCGAAAGGAACGATTTTATTGTTTTCTCCAAAAGGAAATCAGATCATCCACTATCCTTCAAATGGTCAAAATCAAAGTTTTTTATCCAGATCACCCACTATCTCTCTCAAATGGTCAAAATCCAAAAAAAAAAATTTAATTCAACACGAACAATCAAAACAAATTTGCACATATTGTTTTGTTTATCGATCATTTTTTTTAAATTGACAAAACGAAATAAACCGTTTTTGAACCCCGGTCTCGTGACCAGAAAATATCACTAACACGTTTGTGCGATAAGCCTTTGACGATCCAAGGTAAAGGTTCCAAGATAAGACCATCAGTTTTTGGTCATTTTGAACGGTCCGAAACGTTGGAGTAAGACAAAGATCTAACGGTAGACAGCGGTCGACACCGCGCAAAAAACATCTAAAGCGAAACACGATTTCCTTTTGGTCAAATATCTGTTTCGCTCAACCCTGACGTTTTGAACCAAAACAGATAAGTTTTTCAGTTTCACAAATCATGACAAACAGATAACAATTGGGATACACACGATACGTGACGTAAAATAACCACAACCATTTATCATTTTTTTGGAAAACGGAAATATTTCTGTTCAAATTTCAATTTTATTAATTAACAAATTTAACAAATTTCAAATCAATTTTGCAAATCATTTCAAGCCAGCGCAGCAAAGAAAAAAAAAACGACTCATCACAAAGTTTTACCCTTTGATTTTGATCTCATCTTTCCCCAAAAATTCAGTTTAATAAAGTTGAGAAACAGGACGTTTAGAAGTTACAGTTACAGTTACGGGTAACAGTTTAAGTTACAGTAACTGTAACTGCTGTAACTCCTTACAACGAAACATTTCCCGGTAAAGTCGTTAGATTAGGGAAACATACAAAAAAAAGGGAAAATATTACACAAAATATAAAAAATCTACACAAAAATTGCAACATTTAGTAAGACACCGTAACACGACAACCTTTTCTTCTTTTATATATGTTAATGTTAATGTTAATGTTAATAATTATATATGTTAATTAATAAAAAAAATGTCAACAAAACCTTTAGCCAATAAGGCTATAACCTCTGCTCTATCATATTGCTTGCAAGAGTTATTAGCTCAAGAATTAAGCGGAATAAATAAAAAAAGAAGAAAACATTTATTGTCAAGAAAAATAGGAGCCGAAGAAGGAAAAACTGTTGAAGGTGTCGAAAAAATACAAAATGTTGATGATAAAGTAATTTTATCTATGTTTGTCGATGACAAAGTAATCAAGATGACATTATATGGTACACTTATTCACATATACATAAGAAATATATATAATATTTAATGCTTATGATATGACATTTACATAATTTATTAAAGGGCTTTTAATTAGTGGTCCATTGAATCACTATGTTTTCATGGTTCTTGACAAATTATTCAATAGAATTAGTAAAGGAGCAGCAGCCAAAATTCTACAAGTTATCACTTTTCAATTAATTTTTACACCAATTCATTATATTGGTAATTATATGCAATCTATCTGTCTATCTTTCAATAACATAACATCATAATAATGATATTTACTATTTATTTATTTTACTATAGTAATGGCTATAATTAGTGGTTCACAAGATTTAAATCAAATAATATCTAATTTTAAAAAATCTATTTTGAAACTTGAATTAACCGCTTGTGCTGCTTCACTTGTCACCTTAATTTTTGCTCAAAGTTTTCTAGATCCTCGATTCTGGGCATCTTTCTTTAACCTTTCTGGGTAAGTTTTTTGGATTAAAGAACTGGAATATTTATTTTCTCTAATGTGTGTGTATATATATATTCAAATATTTACTATTCTCTAATTCATAAAAATATAGTTTTACTTTTGGTCTTATTGCAAATGTAAAAGCCAAAAATGACCGATTGAAAAAAATAGAACTACATTAAGATTATTTATAATATATCTTATATAAATGGAATATGCAAGTAATTTCGTATGCAGCAACTAAATCAACTATAAAATATTTAATTCCAATTTATTAATTTATAAACTTCAAATTCTTCCATCTCTTGAAATTTTCTTTGAATCTTATTAATGGAACAATGTCTTCTATTATAATTTCAATTCTTTAAAATCACTCTTGTCCCACTCTGAAATATGTTTTTTTTCCAATGTTTCATTTTGTCCTATTCCCATTGAGTAATAAAATCCAAGTATCTATTTCATTCAATGCCAAATAATCACTTTCTAATATAGATATGACCATGGGTTTTTCAATGGCTTGAAAAATATCAGCTTTTAAAAATGATCCTGGATAATCGGAAATTATTTGGTTAAAATATTCCTGAAGCAGATTGAATGATTGATGCTCTGATGAAACATAATTAGTATAAATTAAATTCTGCCAAGTCCATTTTTTATTATTATTATCTGTATTCATAATTCCATTGTAAATACATCTTTAATAATAATAATTTTAAATCATTGTATTAGATATTTTATTTATAATTGTTATAATTTAACATATTCAGTTAAACAATCCTTACATTAAAAGAACTTCAAATACTTTTTGAGTAATGTTTCTTTTTCAAATAAAATGACACCATCTTTAAATTTTTTTAACCCAATTATTTGGAAAACAGATTTAAAATACAAGTATATTGCTTTTAAAATGGTGGAATGAGTTTTAAAACTTTTAACATCCTGGTCTTCTCCAACTTTAATCTACATCATAAGAATCAGATTCATTTAACAGTTTAGATAATTTTTTTTTTTTTACATATATTTTAATAGTAAAGTATCTTTCTTTATTGGAATCAAAAGGGTTGTTAAGTAATGTGTACATTTTTTAATGATGAAAATTAGTTGTTGACATACTTGATTAAAAAAAGAAATTTTTTCCTTTATTGCGGCTGTCCATTTACTGACGTGAGCATAGTGGAAATTTGAAATGTTACACTAATTTTTTATATTGTGCAACGTAGCTTTACAATACACGGCAAACAT